CATTTCCAATTCAGTGCATTTATTAATTGTCAGGTAAACAGGCACACACCAAATTACACCACATGGTTACAAAACTATAAGATCAAGTTTCAGGACCTTAGATGGAGATGTTTGGTGTTTGCCACCCTACGTCACATTAATATGACAAAGAACACTCAGAACACAGCATCTCTCTCAAATCTTTCCATTAAAGGCAGGGTCAAAAGGAAACAATTTCAAGTTCTTCTACCTATAATCTGCTAGGAAGCATGACTAGCAAGAATGTGATGCCCTCATACGTAGCACATACCACATCAGAAATACAATTGTGAAGTATCCTCAACAGACCTATCTGACTTGCAATACGCATCCACACGGTAAATGGGAGAAAATAAGGGTAATCTTTAGAGACTGTAGTTTAAAATTTAAGACTGATTTTGAGTAAGTGTAAATTACTGTGGTTACACACATACCACAGCAACAGCCCAGTGAACTTAGGAAGAGATAATTAGTGTTTCAGTGCAAATCTCCAAGTCTGCATTTCCAATCAGAAATAAAAATGTAGGTAACGAGAACCTTGAACGTTTTCATTACTTAAGTTACAAACCATGATTTAAAAGCAAACAGACTAAAAGAAAATCAAGCATCAAATTTATGGACCGCATTCTGCAGAAAGTTTGAAAGTCCAGTTATTTACATATTTATAAAAGCTGATGTGATTCCCAACTCAAAATAACCTTCATACTTTAAATTTGTGGTAACATCAAAACATACATTGCACTTAGGTATTTCTGTACATGTGTGTATTTCGCAAAGGTGAGAGAATTGAAAGCATTTCCCTATTAGTTCCATTGTTGGGTTTTGTTAAGAAAGTGCTAATGGAGATGCCTAAGGCAGCGCCTTTGCTGAAGGAGTTGTCGCAGGAAAGCAGCTCAAGCCCAGCGCCAAGGCCGTGGCAGCTCCTCAGTGCTTTGTCATACTCGCGCTTTGCTTGAGGGCCGCACAACAGGCTCAGTCCACTTGGCGGTCTGGGACATGATATCGAAAGCGGTTCTCAACCTTCACCACGGCGCAGCACCCAGTATCCTGCTCGTCAACTCAAGCAGACTATCTTAAAGTAATAGAAGGCAATTCTAATAGCTCCACAGCCAGATATTTGTTAGCAGATTAAAAACCCTTACCTCTTCTAATATGTTATGACTTGGAGGAAAATCAGATACAGAGCACTTAACCACCTTGAATCAGCACAGATCATCAGTTTAGGCCTTACTTATGCTTCACCTATTAACTATAGAGCATTCGGTTTGTCTTCAAGCTTCTCATTTAGCCAGATAAGTATCACTGGCACCACTGCATCTGTGTAGCAGAAGTGCTTTTTCCCCTCTTTCTGAGTGGAAAACGAAACAGCAAAATTCCAGTCACATCACTGCACTCATTAATAAGACTTCCAAGCCCGCACAGGTTACTTTTCCCGTGACAGTTTTGCAGAGATGCGATCGCTTCTGGCACCCCACGAGCCCCTCGCTCCGGGCCTGCCGGAGGGGACCGCAGCAGCGGCACGGCGGCCGGGCAGGCGGCACACACCGCCGCGGGGCAAGCGACGGAAACTTCCCCGGCCCAGCTCCCGGGCGCGGAAGACGCGGTGCCAGGGCGAACCCTCTAGAAACCGACACGAGCGGCTTTTCTGAGGGCAGCAAACTTCTGAGGGCAGCGAGGCCACTGCCGGTGTTTAGGGGAGTCCATGTCCCTAACAGCGGGGACGGGCCCGCCGCCACCCGCACGGCGAAGCGAGCTCAGCCCCGTGGGGCACCGCTCCGCCACGGCCAGGGCCAGGGCCAGGGCCGGTGCCGGGCAGACCCTCCGCCCGCCCGGCTGTCAGTCTGGGCGCGGGGGGAGGGAAGGGGGGCACCGCCACCGGGGAGGGAGAACGACCCGCGCCTGCCCGCCCGCCCTCCCGGCGCAGCGGAACGCGGGGCGGCTCTTACTTGTGGAGGAGCTGGGGCAGGCTGGGTGGCGGCGGCGGCATCCCTCGGCTGGGGGCCCCGCTGCGGGCATCGCTCTCCGGCGGGTCAGCGCCGCGGGGAGCCGGGGCCTGGCTCATGGCAGCGGCGGGGACCATACGGGGCGGCCCCTGCGGCGGGAGGCGCGGGTGGCCGCGCAGCCCTCGGCCGCGGCGGCGGGAGGGAGGGTGGCAGAGAGAAGAGAGGGAGGGGGCAGAGGACCGGCCCTGGAGACAACCGCGCTCCCCCCCCCCCCCCCCGCCGGGCTGGCGACGAAGGGACAGGCAACCCCCTGCGACTGAGCCCGCCCTGCCGGAGGGCTGCGGCCACCGGCGGGGGCGGCCGGTGCTGCGCGGAGCCCCAGAGGCGCTGGCGGGGCCGGAGGGAGGGGCGGGCGGAGCCCCCGGCCCGGCCCCACCTGGGCGCCGGGCCCGTTCCCTCCCTCCTCCGCCGGCACCTGCCCGACGGGAGGGACCCACGCCCCGCGACAGCCCGGCGGCTCTGCCCTGTGTCCTAGCCGGGGCAGGGTGGCTCGGGCGCACCTGGCCCTGCCCGGGATGGTCCCGGGGACCGCGCTTGGCAAAGTACGGGCTGTACAGCAAAGAGTGAGCAATACCTTCACACTTCGGCTATAATTTACAATCATCAAACGCCAAGGGCAAGGGGAAAAGCGTGTGTACTGTTCTAATCCCTCGTTGGTAGCACCTCTGAAGAAATGTTATCAGTCATTTTTCAGACATAGGCTCTGTCGGCTGATATAAAACGGGAGAGGAGTGTACCCCAACCAATTAATAAACCTTCTCAAGTAACAAGTAATTTCTACAGCTGGGCCCAACCACGTCTGGGCTTTTAGTAAAGGATGTCGATCCTAGGCTTCCTGCTTCCTAACAGGTACGTTTAGGGTGATCAAGACCTACTCAGGAAAGCTTTACCTGCTGCTGTAATAACACAGGACTAAGGAGTGGAATTGCTGCCTGATGATACAATGTGACAAAAAAAGTTTAACCTGCACACATTTTGGTAGGAAATTTCAGATGACCGATGGAGCAGAAATTGCACTCTTGCATTAAACAAGTAACACTGAGAATATTTCTTCCAGCTCTTCCTCCCTTTGTAACGTGATGTTTGTTAGAGAGGGACAAGTCAAAGACCATTTCAGTACTTGCTCCTGCACTACCTCTGATTGCCACGCACCCTCCCCCCAGCATGCACACACACCCCCACACCCCGAGGAAAGCAGAAACATCCTGGCTTCTTTGAAAAATTAATCCTAATTCAGGGGAAAGACAAATTTTGAATGGGTCAGGTTCTACTCTCCTGCACCTGGCACAGTCATTTACAAATATGTAGCCTTCTAAATGGGAGCAAAATGCCACCTCCGGTGACTGGAAAATTTTAAGTTAGCTGCATTAATCACGTACTTTACACTTTGCAGATGGAGAGCACCAACCAGGTGCAGGGAAGTGGAAAATTGGGCCAGATTTCAGTTGCACAGTTACTTAATGGTAGTGTAACACTAAATGCACCTTCTAAAAATGAATAGCCATCAGTACTTGTTTAGACACATTGACTTTTGCTATATTCTGAGAAATAAAAAAAACGGAGCTTCACATCCTTTCCCACAAGGAAAACAAAATTTGCAAATTATGTGTTTTCTGGTTCAGTGAGGGCAAAAGGGTGGTCAGCACCTTGTAGCTACAAGATGCCTGATATTCCAACAAAGGTAAGTTAAGGTCTCACAGACAGGTGAGGCAACTCATGGGAAAAAAAAGTTTAACATGTAGGACCATCTCTGCCCAAAGTTTAAAGCAAATCCAGGTGTCCACTGATCATCCACAGTGACTTTGTGTGAATTTCCTGAGTAACAGTGAAAGCCCTTGAAACCAAGCAACAGCCAACTGCTGCCTGTAATTATTTGAGGAAGTGAAAGATGGTGACTCATGGCTCAGAGGGCAACAGGAGCACAGCTATGACACTAATGCACGGCCCTGGATTAGGAGGTGGATAGTCACAAGAACGTGTTACTTCGCACAGATGTATTACATCACTTGTAATAATGGATCAAGTGTGTTTTACTAGGCACTACTATTTCTGCACTTAATACATCCACTGTACAACCCAGCATTCAGTCTCAGCATGGGGTCCTAAAACTTTGCAAAGATTTTCTCCGTTTATTTTAACAGTTCTCATCCTTATGTCTGCTTCTTGTCAAGGATTTTATTTTTGTTTTGTTTTGTGGTTTTTTGTTTTTTTTTTTTTTTTTTGTCTTGGTTTTATTTTCCCTCTTTTTCTGTCATATCCCAGTATTTGGCTTGGCATGATCTGGTGTGACAAAGGCACTCACTCCTCACCACCAGCTGGTCCCTGCCTTACCACAAGGCAGTAGCAAAGGCTCACTAAAAGGTTGTCCTACAGGGAAATAAGCGGGTGGGTGTGAGCAGGCACAGACTGACCAACATTCATGGACTCTCTTATTCAAGAAATCAATATAAGCAGTTTTCTGGCCAACCCTTACAGTATTTCTGGAGCACTGCCATAAGAGAGAAACAACAGTGGCTGGTCCAAAAAACACACTTCTAGGGTTTGGGTTTGGCAGTAGAACTGAACAAGTGCTAACAGCTATACAAGTTCTTGTTCTCTTATATGGAACATAGTTATGCACATAGAAAAATCAGAGCTGTAGGATTTTTCCCCTTGGCTAGAGACATATTCCATGTTTGTGTAACTGTCAGCTAATAGAGATTTTGTTTAAAATAGTGGCAAAACACTGACTTTCCTGTTGCTGACTTTGTATGTATTAAATAGCTATGATTTTAGATTAAGACTGTTGATTTTTTTAAAGTATCTGTGCCATGGGTATTAACGAGACCTTATTCAAAAAACACTCATGGCTAATAATTTAAGCTGAGATTAATCTGCTTACTGCATCTCCCAATACAAATATATAATCCCCACCTCTTACAATGCCTTTTTGGAGTTTCCAGTTGTAGCAGTCTGCATGCTAAAACTAAAATCCTGATCTAACTGCTGTTCTAACTTGCATGAGGGTAAATCAGAAGCAGCTCTCTGTTGTAAATGAACTCACACCCGGAATATTCCATTTTTAGAAGCAGATCAAGAAAGGCACAGGCAGAACCTGGAGAAAAAGAAAGGGATCATAAAGTAGGACAGTGATGGAGGCAGACACACACAGATACCGTGTCCCCAAATAGTTCAGCATCAAATAACAAAAACAGCAATGATTTCATTGTTTTAAGAGCTTATTTAACTGTAGAGTTACACATTAGGAAGGAAACACATCTAAGAATGAAAGATGTCAATCTGCCAATTAGTCTGCCTAAGGTCTTTCATTGGTTTGTGCCCAAATCTGTTATTCTGTGACCTGAAATTTAATCCTTGGAGAATTAATTGCCTTAATTTTAATCTTCTGAAAATTAATATATAATCAACTCTTCATTATCAGGGAAAACAAGCACCTGGAAAAAAATGAAAGATGGAAAACCTAGATAATGTGAGTACCTCAGGGCCAGGACTGCTCACTTAAACTGCAATGAGCAGCACCAGTGTAGGTACAACTGCCTGTCTAACATGGTTTATTCCTGAAGTGGGTAAGGGACCCAGACTCAACAGAGAATAAACTCTGGTTTTTACTGTTACCACTCTGCACAGGTACTTCAATTCATATTTATAAAGTATGATCTAGATAGTGTTGTGACAGTTCTGCAGCAGCAATAGTCATTAAAATACAAACATGATTTCATGTAGAATGAGATGTCATCTCTGAAATAGGACTGAAGTAACACAAGTATCCAGTTGCAGGAATAAAAGACTTCATCTAGGAAGAATGGCTACATCGTACTCCTTAACACACTGTGGAGAGAGGTAGAAAAGCACTCTCTCACCCGACTTCCAAAACTAATGAAGAAAAATTCAGGTTATAAAATATGAGAAACAGTTCACTCCAGTCAGTTTATGGTTATCAATGTATCAGGTTTTCTCAGGTTACCCTAAACCCTGTTTCTGGAGCTTGCTGTACATGTTTTCTTCTTTATTCGGATCATTGTTTGGATAGAGAAGCTGAAGACTGAAGCAGAATTTTTCAGTGCCTGGTTATGTGAAATTCACCTTCTGGGTAAGTCTCTATTTACTTCTATTAGCTTCTCCTGAAAAATATTTCAGTCAGCACCACTTTTGACTTTTTTCTTTTCAGTGTTTTTCTTTTCACTGGATGTGAATGGCAACAGGTGGCCACAACTGGTAGGTTCTTTTGCAGTTACTCTGGCTTTGTATTTTCCTGCACCTGTGTGGGCTCTGCTGCTCATGACTACATGTCATTGAAATGGTGGTATTCAGAAATACTCAGGCTACATTTATAAAGGACCTGGTAAAATATAGCTCAAGCCTGCAAGTTGCTTTTTAAGCATACAAACAAAATTTTCTTTTAATATTTTTGAAAGCAGAAGGTTTCCTAATAGTTTGAAAGGAAAATACAGGGGAGATTTAGTCCTTTAGAATTAGATGGTTATAGAGCAGATGTTTTTATAGAAAAACAGAATCACCTGAAGAATTTGACTAAGCACATTAGGTTAGAAGCAAAATAATCAACCCATGAGTAACCAGAAAATGATGCTTACGAATGATTCACCAAGAGATACAGCCTGGTTCCAGACTTCTGAAAGGTGAAAAAGAAAACTCAAGAGCTGGACTGACTGCTGCAGATCATGTGCTTTCAAGAGTCAAGCAGATCAAGATGCTAAAGAATAACCTTTGGAGATAAGCTATCAGACACTCAATCATGGATAGCTGAGACTCAAATACACTGGGACAGCCAGATAATGAAAGGCAAACATTGCAGAATTTTAAGCCTGATGCAGAACAATGTGGAATCAACTAATGATGTCTTTTTGCAGGTACTGTGAGAAGCTGTGTATTCCCTCAGCACCTCAAGCCAGTGACAACATAATCCTCAATTCACATATTATAAGTTTAGAAAATATTGGAATGTGCAACTGATCATACCTAGGAAGTATACACACTGTTTGATCCCAAAATACTAGCTTATGTCATTAATGGTTTGTATCATGCTCTTTTCTAGCTGCAGAAATGGCAAATGTTTACCATTTTAACTGTATTAAAGAACAGCAGAATGTAATTAAAGAAAACATAATGGCAACAGTAAATATGAATGTTAAACTACTCTGAGGAAAAAGAGGGCTTTTAAAAAAATCCTTGATGTTACTCTCATCTCTTCAGATAACTGAAATATGCATGTTAATAACCTGACTTATCTTTCTGTGCCTTCACTATTACACATTTCCATTCATATCATGGTGTAACTGGTCTGCTTCCAGTCATCCTCACTTCTGGTCCTCATCCTTCATGGCCCCATAAGCACAACAGAATTAACAATAACTGCTTATTTATTTGTTTACCCCACTCCTTTCTAATGTATGCATGGGGAGTTTTTCCTTTCATTGCCAAAGCGGTAGGTAATGACAATCACATTTTCACTATTAATAAAAATATTCATAATTAATATATTTAGTACAGATTTTACTTCAGTAATTTTTAATTTTAAAGATACTATATTAGAAGTAGTATCCAGACCTTAAAAAGCTTAGTTTGTCAAGCCTTTAAATACTAATTCTTATGTGTATGCAAGTTCTAAGGGTAGAAATTGGAGGTAAAGTCTAAACTTAATTGTTTCTTTATCCATGGTAAAACACTGATTTTTGCATGACTGCTGAGTACCATTTGATAATGGTAAATATTACTGACACACAAAGACAAACTGGGTATAAATTAGATTACAAAGTAGAGTCTTTTAATATTTTATATGAAGACAAGTGATTTATGGAAGTCTGCTTAAGTAGAATAGCACCAAAGACTGGACAATTTATGCCCCTATAAATTATGTTTGGTTACAGTGAGGGTATGGTGGTCTGTTCTATGGCAAACAGATCCATTCCTGGGACCTCTCACTTGTGGAAGATGTTCTGCAGGACTGAGTTTTTGACAGGCCACTTGTGCGAGCCCCGCCTGCTGGCATGGGCTGCCGAGGTGCCCTGGCTCTGGGAGGCTGTGGAGCTCACGCAGAGCCAAGGCCAGAGCTGCACTGCCAGAGCTGCACTGCCTCCTGACGGAGCGAGGCACGGCTCCTTCCCCTTGTCCGCTGACAAATTGCACAGCTGTGGTGTTACATGTCAGCACTTGCAGCGCGGATCTCCGGAGACAAACCAGGAATGTTCTGCATGCCAGACAGTTGCGCTGAGCCATTACATTGAGACAACCTTCTTGAGGGAACTGTGGGCCCTGAGTGAACAAGAGTGGGGAATCCACTGACATTCTGACCTGCAACCATGTAACCATAGGCAGTGTAGAGCAGCGAGGCCAGATCTACAGATCAAAGAAGGCTTGCAAAAGCATGCCAAATCCATGGAGCATTTGCTGTGTAGATACTACAGTGATTTCAAACAACTCTCATGGCATTTAGATAAGGTAGGTAGACTATGTGTTGCTGAAGTCTGAGATATGCTTTCATCAACATTCATGGTGAGCCTGAAGTTATTTGATGATGTTTATCATCATCTGGAATACTTCCAGTGGAAAACATGATCTTACTGATCTGGAATCTAACTCAGCTCCTGCAATCTATATATTCGGGGCAACAGTCAACAGAGAAATGCACATTGACATTTAATGCAGAGAAGCAAAGGACTCTGAAGTCACCTGAAATGCTCTGCTCACCTGTTGAGGTCATCGTCTAAAATTAGCCTTTCAGTTTAGAACCTACAGTTCTTTTTTGTTTCACTGAACTACCACAGCTGCTAACCTTTCACATGCTTCGTTCCCCTTAGAAAATCTACAAGGACTTTTAAAGTCTTTTCCCTATTAGGAAACTGAAGAATATGCAATACATAGGATTGTAGCATAAATTTTGTAAATAATTATCATAGGGACTGAAAAATGAAATGGCAGTATTGAAATAAATTATTGAAGGGAAAAAACCCCAAAATGTTATTATAACCATGGAGGAAAACACATAACTGTTATTACTGTGATGTCAAATTTGTTTATTGAAATGTGCCATCTCGGATAGGGAAATACTAAGAATAATAAATGTTTTGACTTGAGCTCTGGAGGGCTTCTCCTTTGTTACTTCTCACTTTAGTAGTGAATTTACCTCTTTCTTTATCAGCAGCTTGTGAGGAAGGGCATAGAAAACAAACAGCAAAGATAAATATTGTGGTACAAAGAAACATAAATTAAAGAGCAATAACTTGTGCTCACAGGTAACACAGCACAAGCTCCACCATCATAGAAAATAATCTTAAAAGAGAACTAGTAGCATACTGCAGATGAGGCTACAAGAAGATGAATGCATTGCTTCTTGGAAACCTTCTTGGAAACCAGTCACAGCTGGTATGAGTAGTCTGCTGTCAAACTAGAAAGGCGTATAATTTGGAAATCTGGAAAGGCTAATTCCTTTTCCTATATTGTTATTCAACAGTCTGGGTAACGGAACAGATCACACATCTGAAATGTGCATGTGAGGTAAAGTGCTATAGGCAAATTGGAGCTGAGAAGGAGTCTTCAGAACAATTTGGAGAGATCAGAGAAACCATGAAGAACACAGGATTCAGCTGAGGAAGGACAGGTGTTAAGTCCTGTACTTAGGAAAGGAAAATATTGTCTGGGAAAGTACAGGATGGGGAATGACTAGACAGAAAACAGTTGTTCTGAACAAGACTTGTGGGTATTACAGAGGATCACAGCTGAACATGAGTCAACAATATCATGCAAGGAAGGCATCCATCAACGTAAGTTATATAAATAGGAGTTTTGTCTGATGTAATTCCCCTAATTTTTTTGGTGGTTATAAGGCCTCAGTAAGAACACTACACCACTCTGGTAGTGCTACTTTCACTAGGAAATGGATTAAAAAATTCAGAAGAAAGGATAGGACTAACCAAAAGCCCACAAAAGAAGAGTCATCAAAAAAAGGATGATGGAAAGGGCATTGTTCAGTCTAGAACTGAAAAGACTAAAAGCAGGAAATAATATTTAAAGAGAATGGAATAAATTGGTTTTGATCCCCAAGGTGAAGGAGATAGAGGAAAGCAGACTTGAATCACAGCAAGAGAAGTTCAGATTAAATCTGCTAATCACAAATGAGAGAGTATGCCAATTTTTGAAACACCTGATGTAGCAGCTTGAAAAATAGGTTGCATAAATGGTCTGTCAGGAATGAGTTAAACATGATCCAACTTTGGGGCAAGAGGAAGGATTAGTTATGCCTGGGTGCCCCATTATCCATGATTATTGAAGCAAGAAAACTCTGGAATGGCAATGAAAAATCCATTGGAAAGCAAGAAGTGCAAAAGTTAATATAACTTATGTAGTTTGCAAGTCCAGCAAGTCTTCATAGTCCCTACACATCCATGGTTCAGGTGGCTTGAAGACGGTAAACAATTCACATTAATAAAAGGCACGACCATGCATCTAAAGAGGGTTTTGAAAGTGATACAGTCACAGTAGGGAAGAAGAAAAGGCGGTTTTCTTAGGGACAGAGACAGAAGCAGAGATCACACAAACATTTTGGATGTTTGCATTTGTTCCTAGTGAAATGGAAGTCATACAGCATCTCTAAGGAATGAATGCATCACTTTCCCAGACACAGAAGCCATTGCAAACACAGGCCCTAAACAGAAAATAATGTTTCACACGTGGAGTGACCCTTAAATTCAGCTCCATCCAGGAAATCCTGAACCAGAGCCTAAGGAAATCTTAGTTTAACTGATGCTTGTTTAAATCCAAGTTATTAAATATTTTGGCCAGCTAATAGGCAGTTCAAGTAAGAATCCTGAAGAAGACATGTCTCTACATACAAAATATAAAATTACTATGATCATATCAGGATAGTTTGCACTTAAAGAATCCTGTCTGAAAACTCAGATGCTTTAATCCATTCATAAATGTAGGCCCTTTTCCCTCCACTGTTAAAAAAAGATGTATGATGAGACTGTGGCTAGCAATCCCAGGGTGAAAGCAGTGGCAAAGCCTCACCCATCAAGTCACAGTCCACAAAGCTTTTACTCGGACTGCCCTTGGCTGTGATAGCACGTCATTACCAATCTTCCAAACCCTGCACACATACAATCTGGAATGCAAGGACTACCATGCAGTCTGCAAACAGACCAAAGCAAAGCCATTTGATTACTTTATGCTCGGGATGCAAGAAAAAACAAAAACAGCCTTCAGCTAGGAAAAGGCTAAAAGCCTAAAGTCTACCTAAAATCTCACATTAAATTAATTCTGATTTCTGGAAATACTCATTTCTGGAAACAGTGGTGGCAGTGATCTCCTTGAACCAAAGAACACATAATCCATCTTAGGCACTGAAAGCTCTCTTACCTTTCACAGTTCACAGAGAAATATATTTGGTTGTAGTTACAATATATAGACTACTCAATTTTTTTTTTTCTTAAACAGGGCACTTTCAGGACAAAAACCTATAAAAAAGAAAAAGAAGCTTTTAAAATAATATCTTTCCTCTTCCTTTTTTTCCCTTTTCACTTGTTTTTTCAGAGAGAACTTGACACGTCACATAGTTTTTTTCCAGTAAGCTGATCAATTGTCAAAAAATATGTAGCCTCAGACAAACTTTATCAGTCAACTCAAGCTGAACTCAGCCTAGGAGAAAGGTAATACTCCTGAATGAATTACATAATTTCTCTTAACTTTTCTCACAAGCACAGTTGTTTCCTCTCAGATTCATCTTGAAACCTCTCAATTCCAAGACACTAAAACTGTAAGCAGAGGCACAGACATTAAAAGTGAGGTCATATGCTTGAAAGAAGCAAGAAAACATCTCAGAACCCCTGTGATTTAAAAAAAAAAATCCCATTGATAAAGCAGAAGGCAGGTAAGACAGACTCCAAAGGGAAAGATACATAAACCTGAATAGTTCCAGTTCAAAAAAAATCTAAGTAATTGAAAATAAATTCTTCGTAAAGAGAAATATTAGGAAAGTTCAAATTCCTCTGACTTTTCAGAGGATGAGGTTGAACTGTATGTTCCCATCTCTCCAAAGTTACCTTAATTTCCAGTCTTCTGAGTTTCTGGGACTGGTCTCTTCCTTTTGTATGGAAGCTACTTTAGCTAATATAAATACATAAAAGGCAAAGCAGCAGGAATTAAATTCAAAGGCAAGCTACCTCTCCCTAAGTCTGACTCTGGTGAAGGTTTCACAAGATCAGTGATTATTTTTCTTTCTCTTTTTTTTTTTTTTTTTTTGGAGTAAACACGTAAACATAAAACAAATTCCTTTATTTCTCAAAATATTTACAGAAAAGTTGATTTGGGTTAAGCATAAACAAAATGGAATTTGAACAATGATCAGAAGCATTATTTGGCTGAAATGTTTGCTTCCAGATGAGCTTTTTTAATATCTCCAGCTAAACTGTCTGTCCTTTCCTAGGATATGATTAGAGGGCAAAGTATTAAAAGTCCAATTCTTAAGTGAATAGCCTATACAGGGATTGAATCCACAGCCTTGGTGTTATTAACACCATGCTCTGACCATCTGAGCTGATCTCATTTCACTGCCCAGCTCCTTTTCTTGCAGAGCCTTTTTGATTGCACCAAAAACACTGCTAGAGTTTGTGAGGGGTTAGAGCAGCCAGTGAGACCCAGCCCATTGGGTCTGTAGAGTCCAGAACTCACCAGGAACCTCCATCACCTCAAGGGAATGGCCCCAGTTACATAAGTTATAGAGAGCCCTGTCTTTCTCCAGGCAGTTAGAATAGATCCTCCTTCCATCCCTATAAAGGCTGGATAACAAACTATGTAAATGATACAATAAATTGCTTAACAGTAACATATTCTTCCTTTGAGGTATCTGCTTCATTATTCCAGCTCGTGGTGAGTTTATGCTAGGAAACATGAGGATTGGTGACATTTTATCAAAACTAATCTGATTACAGATGCTGTTTATAAATCCTAAATGCTTAATGCTAATATTTTAAATGTTTTAAAATTGTCTGGACAACATCCTACAACTGTAAGCACCACAGGTTAAATACTGTTCTTTTTTTTTTTTTACGTTAGCAGCTCATAACACATTTCAGAAAAGAGCCTTAGTGTGAGGCTGCACAGAGAACCTTTCACACTCTCTTCCCTTGGAGAAATCCCATTACAATATCTGGCTCCCTTTCTGGATATGGCTCTGAATGACTTGCTTTGAGCCATTCAAAAAAATTGTGGTAGACCTGGGTGTTGAAAGTAGCTCACACAAGGGCTGATCCAGAGCTTATTTAAGTCAACAGAGGTCTTTCCAATTAACTTCTGAGCAGGTTCTGAATCTCAGGGCACTGCCCTTGCTGTGGCAGCATGCTTTTTATACTGCTCATTTTATACACCTATCATATTTCTTCCAGCAATTCTTTCCAAATTAAATTGCCTTAGGGTGCAAGGGAACATTTCAGAGAGATGAGGGACTGTAAGATGTCTTATTCTCATTGAAATCAATGTGACTTGAATACCTATCTGCAATGTGTGCCATTTAAAATTTTCCAGTTAATCAAGCCAGACCTTTCTGCAATGCCTTTCCCCATTTTTATCTCTTTTCCTTTCTGTGGATCACTTTCGCAGTCTTTTTCTGATGTATAACAGGAAGATGACAGATCTTAGCATAAATGGATAATAGACATTGTTGAGTGATTGATACATGAGAAATCTATCTGGAAAAGTACAGTTACAAAGGAAAAAGACATATTAAAAATGAATTAAATTGGTTATTAGTTCAGTTAAGATGTGATCCTCCAGTTTTATCCTCTGATTCCAGTAGCACACCAAAAAAAAAAAAAAAAAAAAAAAAAAAAAAAAAAAAAAAGCTGGCCTGCTGCCATGATAAAATAGGCCTATCATTTTCCAGTGGTTTAAATATGGGTCAAAACATTCAATCAGACAATATTAATTTATTTTAGTATTCCCTGGGGAAACCCAGGGTGACTTTAACAGAGAACTCCTTCTAGCTTTTGAAAGAAATAAGAAATGGAAGGACATCCACTGTGATTTATTTTCTCTGGATGATCAGTGGAGAAATTGGATATGCATGACACATTCATTTAGT